TTTTGGGAACATTATACCACCGACTCGACATGGTGTAGGAAGACATGGGACGGTCTGTGGGGTGCTATGTCCATTGCTCGTACGCGTCTACCATATTTCCACAAATGTTCCTGTACGAGAGGTACCAAACTTATGCTCCCATCCCAGCAGACTTGGCTGTGGATGAGGAGGTGGTGCAAGGCATGAGATGGCATGGTCGATCGCCACGAGGACGACTAGGATATGCCTTGGACCAAAGCTTCCAATTCATTAGTCGCCCTTATGCGGTGGACCTGCCTGGGGCCAAAACTCTGCCCATGTATTTTGATGATAATGAGCACATTCCAGTGGGTGCTCATCGCTTGAATGCAAGCGAAGTGTTAGTGTTCTTGTTGATGAGCACCCCTGGCTACTTGCCCGCGATATGGGAAGGGGGCCAAATAGCAAAGACATATAACCCTCGTAGAGTTCCTCTGCAATTTGGTTACGATAGAGGGGTGCCCTTGCACTACATCTTTGTGGAGGGCGAGGAATCTTATGAGAGTAGCTTCATGAGGTTTGTAGCGGATCACATGGGCTACTCCGCGAAGGAATTGGCGGTGTCTTCCTGCTAGGAAGAGGCAGGGTCCCGAGATGTACAGAGACGGCTCGCTCACTATGGGCAATAGAGCTAGCAAGCTGGAAAGATTTTTGTCAGAGTCCTGCCCATCGTGCAAAGGCGTTGGTGATCTATTCGGGGGACCATTCACTGAAGCCTCCAATAGCATTTAACAGGGGGGACTGCAGCTTCACGCCTGACCCTGCACCCACTGCAACGCAATAAGGGGAATCCGCTCAACCCATCGTGGTAACCACTAAGCCTACCGTAGAGGCAGCCCCAGCGCCTGTCCGTAGGCGCAAGATAAGGGCAACTTCACGCGCAAACCTTGCCCCTCCAGCAAATGTGCAGCTGTAAGTGTTGCAGAGCCAGCTATTGCTAACGTGAGGGAGGAGAGGGTAAGGCCTCCAGCACCAAGTACATCTCGACCCATGACCTCCGCGAGCAGAATCCCACTCGTGGATGAACCAACTGAGAGTGAAGATACAACTACTTCTGAAGAGGATGGCGAACAGCCTCTCGTTGGAGAGCATGGCTCGATGGCTGCAGCCTTTGGGCCAGGGCAAGGGGGTCGCGCAGGCTTCACCGGGTGCGAGATGGTGGAATTGACGCCACTGTACATGATATAAGCTCAAGCGAGGTACTAGCTTCTGACAGTGAATTTCCAAATTTACCTACTTTTGATTTTATAAAAGCCTTAGGTGAGAGTGCCCTGTATTGTGATGGTCAGGAGGACACTTCAACGGGTGTGAGAGCGGAGGAAATAGAAGAGCTCGCGCTGGATATCTCACCTCTCATCACCATTCGAGACGTACCTGTGCACACGCATGCCGCTGAGGTAGCAGAAATGATGCGAGGGTATGTAAGTGCTACAGTGCCACCTCAAGCGAGCGCCGACAATGCCGAGGACACAGTACTTCCCCAAAAGGGGGAGGATATGTCTCAAGGTGCTACCCAGTAAGGGCTGAGAATGGGTCAGAATCCCTAAACCCTGAGGTGACAAGTCATTCAGGCGATGCTGCAAGTGGGTCACCCAGGGGCGAAAATGTAGAAGTGGCCCCGCGAGGCAATACAGATACAATTTCGAGCTCGCCTATGGAGATGCGAGAACCCTTTTAATCAAGAGATGAACAGATGGGAGAGCAACTCTCTTCCGAAATGGGCGAGGCCTCTGAGCGAGGCCCCCAAGTCTCACCTTTAGAGACACAGGAGACAGAACAGGCCCCTCTGGTAAGCGAGGAGGCGTTGCAAGAGGAAAGGGCTTAAACCTCTCATTTGACGGAGTTGCAACCTTAACCGGTTCTCTCGGTGCCACAACCGCAGACTACTGCGGTGAATGCCACGGCTACCCTAGCGAGGCAGTTTACAGCTCCCACTGTTGAGCAAACCACAGCAGAAAGGACTCCTCGCCCTCTTGGCAAGCCAACCTTGGGGGTTGAGCAATGTGTTGTGAGTGACACAGGGCCACAAGCTGCTAGCACGGAGGCGGAGTGGATGGGTATGCCATTCCCTTGCGCCTATGTACAACTTCTCGAGGCAGCCCTTGCACATTATCCCGAGGTTGTGCAATTTTTATCATCGCTCCATACATATGTGCGGTACTCAATGTACCTATGCCTTGGAAAAAATTTGGAGGGTTTTGTAGAAATCAAGCAGAGCGCGACCAATGAAAACCTCATCCAGGAGGCTACACTCCTATTGGATGATGTTCAGAGGCTCGAGGTTCCGGTTTCATGGCTGCGAAGACGATTGTTTGTGGTTGAGAAGTGTTTACAGCAGCGACTGCTCGCACCACGCCTTCAAAAAGTACGGGCTTGTATTGGCAAATTAGAGGGGGAGCTCACACAAGAGCGAGAGAGCTTGGAAGTATTGACAGCGTACTCACGGGAGCTCGATGATGATTACTCGCTGCTGTCATCATATAGGGATTACACTTGTAGATTGCTCTTTTGATTATTGATGTAAATGAGTCAAGGACTCCACAATTGTAATCGAACAACCTTGAATGAAAAGAAAATTTGTGATTATTCCACTCTTGGTTTTGTTGTTTTTTTTTTTTTCTTAAGAACTTGAGTCAGGCACCAAGTTGAATAAAACCAGTAACTTTCATTCAGGATAGTCAAGTTTAACAAAAGTAAGGCTTGAGCCAGACATTATTAATGGGGCTATGAACAGAGCCCTCGAGTATGCAATAGCTACTATCACTAGATGTCTTGACAATATAGGGGCCCTCCCAATTAGGTGAGAACTTGGGAGCTGAGAGGCCACGCATAATGTGTGGAGAAGCTTTAAGAACGAGCTGGCCTGGTTGGAACTATCGAGTTTGAACATGCTTGTTATATGCTCGCACTATGTTGCGCTGGTACTGTTGGAGGTGCTGGAGGGCTAACTCGCGCCGCTCATCGAGGGCTTCTAACTCAATATCTCGTGACATGGGAACCCTGCTGTGCGAGGTGAGCTGCGCCGCCGGGACTGCAATATCAATGGGCAAAACAGCTTCTATTCCATAGATAAGAGAGAACGGAGTTTTACATGTGGAGCGCTTGGTGGAAGTGCGATAAGCCCAGAGTGCTAGAGGCAATTGCTTTACCCAGGTGCCAGGCTTTTCTTCGAGCGTTCTACTTAAGATTCGAATGAGATTCTTGTTTGAAGCCTCTGCCTAGCCATTACCCTATGGGTAATATGGCGATGAACGCTTATGGTGGACATTGTATTGCCTAAGCAATCGCTTGACTTTATGATTAATGAAAGGAGTACCATTGTCGATGAGAAGGTAGTGAGGGATCCCGAAGCGGTAAATGATATTCTCTTGTATAAAAGCCGCAATGGCCCCGCTGGTGGCATGCTTAAGGGGGATCACCTCGATCCATTTAGTGAAGTACTCTGTTACAACAAGAATCCACATGTGACCTTGCACCAGTGGATGGATTGGCCCGATAAGATCCAGCCCCCATGTGTGGAATGGCCAAGGGACTCCGATAGGATGGAGGGGTGTAGCTGGTGTATGGATCTGGTGATGATGATGTTGACAAGGTCGACATTTTTGTACATGAGACTTGGCATCGCGCTCCATAGTAGGCCGATAAATTCCCTTTTGTAACAAATACGCGAAAAGCTTTGGTGAGCCTTGATGCTCCAACTGGTGAGCCTCCTTGAGAGCTTCCATGGCATCATTGCAAGATAAACATCGCAGATACGTACCATTGAGGGTTCGACAAAAGAGTTCACCTCCCCGAACCTCAAATCGTGCGGACTTCCTCTTGAGCTTTGCAGCAGCTTATTTATCATTTGGAAGGGTATCATATGCAAGGAAATCAATGAACGGACGACGCCAATCAACCATCTCAAGAATACAAGATTCGAACTCATCCATTACAGCCTGACATTGCGGGTAGGTGCGTTGCAAGGTATTGGCCTGAGCTACCATATCTGGCCAAAAATAACCCTGACGCTGGAGGCGCCGGTACAACGCCAAAGGCGTAGCACAGTGCTGCTCGTGAGTTGCTATGAGAGTTGCCTCAGCATCGCGAGGGCCCAAACATCTGGCCAACGTTCCGCATGGCAGGCGGAAGTAGAGCAGTCCCTGTAAGAGCTGGAATGGTTTCAATTGTGTGAGAGGTAGCGACCCTATCCGCTGTTTGAGCTGACTAATGATTGGGGCTCGCCAATCATTGTCCAGAACAGTTTGGGCCAGGAAAAGCTCAGCGATGATAACTGGACCAATACGTTTTGTGATACGGATCTCAGTCATGTCATCTATAATGGTTAGCTTCGAAGCTAATGTGGCGAGGGCATCTGGGTACCTGTTATTGGAACAAGGTACATGCAAGAAACGAACGGAGGAGAATCTCGCAAGGAGCTTTTAAATAATGGTACGATAAGATGCGAGCGAAGGTTCGCGTATAGCACACTCACCCGTTACCTGTTTAACAACCAACTTGGAATCCCCGCATACACATAAGCGCGAGATACCTTTGTCGAGGGCTACGAGGAGGCCAAGAATGAGTGCTTCATACTCAGCTTCATTGTTAGAACAACGAAAAGCCAGCTTGAAAGCCGCAGTGACCTACTGAGTTGGCAAGGTAAGAACAATGCCTGCCCTGCCACCCGTGCTAGTCGAAGACCCATCAAAAGCTAGTTTCCATTCGCCGTGACTGTCTGCAATGGCAGCCACCTGGAGTTCGTCAAGGAGTAATGCTTCATCGAGGGGCTTATGCCTCTGTTCGGGGAACTGCACGAGCATATCTGCTAAAACTTGGCACTTAATACCCTGCGGTGCATAACAGGTAATGTCAAACTCCAAAAGAGCTAAAAGCCATCGCGACGCCTTCCCTGAGATGATTGGCTCAGAGAGGAGGTGCCGATATAGGTCGCACTTTATGATTAAATGGATCCGATGAGCCATGAAATAATGCCTAAACTTCTATGCAGTGAAAACAAGGGCGAGGCAGTGACGCTTAATGGCTGAATAGCGAGCCTCAGCTTCGCGTACAAGGTGACTGAGATAATAGACTGGTCGTTCTTGCCCGTCGATTGTTTGCGCGAGAAGGGCCCTAATAAACTTGTCAGTTGAAGTGAGATAGAAAAGTAGAGGCTGTTCCCTAACAGGTGGGTGCATGGTGGTCGAGGAGGCAAGAATGGTCTTAATCTTCTCAAAGGCTGCTTGATGAGCCGCTGTCCAAAGGAATTTGGCATTGCCTTTGATCAAAGTGCTAAAAGGATGAGAGACTTCGGCGAGAGCTGGTATGAACCTACGCAAATACAAAACTTTGCCCAAAAAGCTTTTGAGCTATTTGAAGGAGCAAGGGCGGGGCATATCTGTGATTGCACGAGCTTTAGTGGGGTCGAGGTCGATTCCCTGGCGATGCACCGAAAAGCCCAAAAAATTGTCGCGACATACCCCAAACACATACTTAAGGGGATTCATGCATAGATTGTATATACGGCATCGCTCAAAGACGCGACGCAAATCGTGGAGATGATCCTCTCATCGTTTGGATTTCACGACGAAGTCATCAACATAATCTTCCACCGTGTGATGCAGTATATTGTGAAAGATGGCAGTCATGGCTCTTTGATATGTGGCTCCAGCATTCTTTAACCCGAAGGACATGACAGTGTAGTGGAAATTACCAAGTGGTGTCCCAAAAGCAGTCTTGTGGGCAACTCCTTCGGCCATCCGTATCTGATTGTAGCCGCTGTACCCATCCATGAAGGAAAAAAGTGAATGTCTGGCCGTTGCATCAACCAGCGTGTCAATGATAGGAAGAGGGAAATCATCCTTCGGGAATGCCTTGTTGAGATCGCGAAAATCAACGCAGATTCGAATTTGTCCGTTCTTCTTCTTCACAGGAACAATATTTGCCAGCCAAGTTGGATGTAAGATTGGCCTAATGAACCCTGCAACGAGTAAATTTTTGACCTCTGTCTTAATCTGAAGCTCGAGCTCAGGTCTATAGACGCGAGGTGCTTGTTTGACAGGGCGCGAGACTGGGATGGTACTGAGATGATGTGTCACGAGCTGGGGTTCAAGTCCTGGCATCTCGCTATAGGTCCATGCGAAGACGTCCGAGAATTCCTTCAGGAGGTAAATAAGGCCATCACGCAACGATGGGTCCAATTGCGAGGAGACGAAAGTTGCCCGTGGTTCTCGTCCTGTAGGGGCGAGATTAACTTCCTCAAGATCCGGCAGTTGCAGTGGCTCCTCCTTTACACTCGTAGGCTCAACAACTGGGCTCGCCAAGGCGAAGCCCGTACACCATCATAAGCGATAGACATATCGCCCATTCGGCAGCCTCACTCATTTGCACTCCCGCGGGGTAGCAGCTTCTGCACCGCGACGCGGAACATACGGCTGTGAAAGGTAAAAAATGCCTTGCTGTACCTCCTCCCACTTGGGTAGCAAAGTACGAATTATATGCGCCTCTGCTTCTTTATCCTCATCATCAGACTCATCAAAGAAGAGAGACTCAGTAAAGTGTGCCTCATGCTTGGCAAAAGGCTTATCAGAGCACGGAACCGTGACGACCTTGTTACCCAAGATGCCTTTGAAACATTGATGGTAGGTTGAAGCTACTAAGCCGAAACAGTGCATCCACGCTCGCCCGATGAGCACATGATAGGATGTATCAGCCTTGATGACATGGAATTTAGTGGGAGCTTGAAATCTACCAACCGCAAGATCAACATTTACATAGCCAAGAGTCATTGCCGAAACCATAGACCTCAATGGTTTCTTTGACAAGGACATCTTGGGGCAAACCAGCTTTCTGAAAGGTAGCCCAAGGCATGATGTTGATGGAAGACCCGTTATCGAGAAAAGCGCGCCAGAACTCCCTACCATTGAGTTGCACAGTGACATAAAGTAGACGATTCTGAGGGGTAGAGACCTTTTTGTCAGATTCAGAGAAAGAAATGGTCAATAGAGCCTGGTGAGAGGAGGGTTGACTTGACAAAGCGGCTGTACAGCACTCTTCCTCGCCGTATTGCGCTTGAACCTTTGATTGTGTGGGATTGGTTTCTTCAAACTCTTCATAATACGTGACCACAGCCACACCGCGATAACGAGGGTACGGATTGCGCCGCACATCCTTTGGCGCGGTCAACTCAAGATCACCACCCTCGAGCCGTTGTTGAAAAATTCACCTCAGAGTCCTGCATGCACTTGTTGGATGTGAAGTGGCTTGGTGGAAGATACAGAAATTTGGACTTGCACGATCCTGCGCCGTTGGCTCTTTGTGAGGGACGGGTAGCACGACTACACCATGCTTGACCCACTGTTCGAGAGTACTGGCAACTTCTTCCATACATACCAGGAATGGGGGAGGATCATTTATTCGCTTAGCTCGAGATCCCTTGGCCCTAACATCTGTCTCGTGACGCTTTTTGGCCTTATCATTGTGAGGAGCAACCGGCGTGTCCTTACGAGTGACCTGTCCAGCAACCTCTGTTTTGGGAGGTTTAAGATCTTTACAAATGTTCCGTATAGCTGTGGTGAGATCACTGAAGCTGTTGAGACCCAGATTGACCAAGTGTATCCTGTAGGTCTTAGTCATGCCTTGTATGCAAATATCAACCAGATCCCTTTCACTACTACCCTTGAAGCATTCCCTCGCACGGGTCTAGAAACGAGAAATGAACTTGAGGGGTTCCTCGTAAGATTCTTGCGTTTCTTTGGTGAGAGAGAGAATAGTGACCCTCTCGATGGCTTGACCAAACTTGTTATGGAACTTCTGGGAGAGTTGTTGCCAAGTGGTGACCGAGTTTGGCTCGAGACTACGAAACCATCTGTACGTGAGCCCGGTGAGAGACTTGGCGAATTCTCGCAAGCGTAGGATTTCGTCATGGCTATGTTGGCCTAAAGATTCCACGAATCTTTGCAAGTGCTCATCGGCATCCCCTTTGACGTCGTCATACTTGGGAAATTTTGGGATGATGTACCCCTGTGGGTATTGTGTCTGAGCCAGGCTTTTTGGGTACAGAGGCTCTGTCCGCAAAACTAACGCACGTGCAGCCGATGGGGCATGCTCTATAAAAAAATCACGTAGCATAGATTTAGTGACATATTCCAGGGAGGGGTTTGCCGGTGGAACTGTTTGAACTGGGGTGAGCTTTGGGGCTGCTTGGGCTTGCGTCGACGGATACCATAGCGGTGGCACGCGAGTAGACGAACTACCTGGCTGGTCATGCTCAGGAAGGGCCACTCTAGTGGGAGAAACAGTTATGGCTCGTGCACTCTGCCTGATCAAGGCTTCCAACCTATCAAGGCGGTCGTTAAGATCACGGTTGGACTGCAATAACTCCTCGTGAACAAAAGGGGCCACTGAACTTTCCGGCATTGTGATATGTGGTGCACGAGCATTGGAAGCATGTGACGATGCCTAGGATTGAAGAGGAACGCCACCACCACCACCAATAGAGGGCTCTGAATGGTGAGTCGGCGTATCTTGTGATTCCATCTGCTTGCACTGATATCCCCAGCAGAGTCGCCAAAATGTAGGGGTTCTTTTTTACTAGGTAATAAAATAGCAATAAAAAGAGATATTAGGAACACAAATACGAAGGAAAACAGAGGAAATGCTCAGTGTAGGAGGAAGAGAAGAAGACCAACTAACTCGATCAAGATGGTGGTAGGGCGAGTATATAGTATGATAGCTTTTCTTTTATTCAGGAGAGCTTGTTCTTTCCTCGTAAGACAGTGCCATTTATAGATCAAGATTTCATTGGCCATTATCCAATGGTCCCCTCTATGCATGGTTCCTCGTATGCATCACCCCCAATCCGGATTACGTGAGTAATCCTGAAGATTTAGGAGTCTGAAGGGTCTAATCCTTTCCTTGAGCCTTGTCCCATGTTACCATGTCACTTCTCCCCTAATCAGGGGCATTAAATGTTGCTTGGCCGTTCGGTTGGTCAAGCCTGACATAGCATTAATTGTGATTTTAAGGTTTGCTGTCACAACGTGTATAATCCCATCATCTTGTTAATTGGGCCTTACCGAGAGTGAAGGCACTTCTTGACTTCTTATCCACCAATCCAAGATCCTCCTAAGTTTTCCAAACATGGATTCCTATAACACAAAGATCCTACCTCATCTCATGCTAAGGAGCTTCGCTCTTTCAGGATAGCATCGTCTGGCATAACACCAGGATTCGGGATACTCGAGACTTGATAGGCCTAGTGTGGCGCCAGGATTTGGAATGCTCGAAGATCAGCTTCTTGAGGCTTACTGGGCTTGGGGCGATACCAAGGCTTAAAGCGCTCGAGATTTGATCTTTCGAGGCATGAAGGCCTAGAGCGATGCCAGGGCTTAGAGTGCTTGAGATTTGATCTTTCGAGGGTTGGGGGCCTGGAGCGATACCAAGGCTTAAAGTGCTCGAGATTTGATCTTTCGAGGCTTGAGAGCCTGGAGCGATGCCAGGGCTTAAAGCGCTGGAGATTTGATCTTTCGAGGCTTGAAGGCCTGGAGCGATGCCAGGGCTTAAAGTACTCAAGATTTGATCTTTCGAGGCTTGAGGGCATGGAGCGATTGTGATACCCCCGGATTTCCGAATGCGGGTTGGCCAGGCCCACGCCCGAATACCCGAGGATATCAAAAACAAATCGGCAATAAACGAACACAGAGTACAAAAAACATAAAGAAGAATAAATAAAATGCTGACAAGAAACTAAAATGATAATCTAATAATAAATCTCATAATATATTTCCATTAATTAATAAATTCTTCTGATACAACTGATCCTCCAAAATATAACTCGGGAATCCATATTGTGTGGACTCCTAGAAAATCCAAACTAAACAAATGACAGCAATAACTGTCTAAATCAGGAAACTGAATCATAAAGGAACTCCTATGCAGCATCGGAAGAATGAGGTAGACTGATCCCCGCTCAGCACGAACAACCTCTACTCCTAACAAACTCCTGAAAAATAATGGTGGGTTAGGCCCACAAACAAGTTCTACTTTACTACAGTTCAAGCAGAGATACGATACACGTATACATCCTAGTCAATCCAACAATAATTAGTAGTCCGTATATATATATACACACACTAAAGGAATATCACTAGGCTATAGGGTTGTCTCAACCTAAATAGTAGGCAACATGCAAAACGCACATATAGTGGGCATGAGTACCTAGACCTACCAGGGTACACAACTACACTATATCTAGCTACACATCCCTGGCGATATACGCGCCCTAACCACTGATCCTGAGACTCAAGCTCATATCATGGTACCATACTTATATATATATAATTTAGTAACCATCCTATTCAGTATAAATTAATCATCTATAAGTCATTCAACTTGTTCAGCTGACCTGACTTGAATATAAGTAGGACTTAACATTTTAGTTAATCCATTCCCTTATATAATAAATTAATCCTCTATAAGTCATTCAACTTGTTCAGCTGACCTGACTTGAATATAAGTAGGATTTAACA